TTTTTCTCGACGTTCCATCTTCCACTAATCGTTCACGATAACTTGCATAGGAACTGGCTACTCTAAGGCAATTATGCCTGGAATCTGAACTGAACGTTCGACTGCAATGCGCCAAGTAAGCGTAGAACGCTTAACCATGCCGAACAGCGAGCGGAGAGCGTTTCGATTAATTGCAGAAATTAGGAAATTGGATTAACCTTGCGTGGAGAAGGCCAGCACACGTAGAGCGCGTGCAGTCGAGCCCAAGAAAACAGCTTCGAGCCGGCGAGCTTTGAATTCTAAAGCCGGTATTACACGGTAGAGAAGACGCTCGAATCCATGTATAATAACGACTTTTATTGAAATGAAGAGGCTCTCTTATTGTAATCGATTTAGAAGATAACATAGCAAAACGATAGAAAAACGATGAAAAAATAGAAGAGAAAGAGAAGGCGGCATTGGCTGCGGTGGTTAAAGGCTGTCGCCCACTTAACACATTGAGAGCTGCGCGTGGGCCATCGGTGAGCCACGTTAGACTTTCCGTTCACATCGTTTTAAGAAGAAACATTATCATGAAATGTTTCATAATATTATTTAGCTGGTACATAATTATCATGTATAGTGTAAGGAGAATTGAGAAATTGAGGCGTATTTTATAGAAATGGATTTATTGAAGATTGCGTGGGTTAATTTGCTTAGATGGCCACCGTGCGACTCTCTAACCAAGCGACTCCGTTGGTTGACGATACTCGTGGCGTCGTAGTCCTCGGGCCCGATATCGCTTACTCCTATTACTATAAACATCCGGGCCGGTCGCCCGAATGCCCGTCTCGACGACGCCCTCGAATTCTCTTACAATAGCGCAATTATACCGTGGGTCATCGATGTCCAAAGCAAATTTCGAAAAATTGAATTAACGTGATGGGTAGCGCCGACGTTTCAATGCTCTGCTTGCTGCATAAGAGCTATTCAAATCGCAGAGAATTGCATTCATAGTCGCCGATTTTTTCAAACTCACAGAATTTCTAGATATCCTTGAGAAACGAAACTGTGTAAAATTTTAGCATTCTGTCTCGAACGGTTTTTAAACTACTTAATATTAAAGTTATAGTAAATTACACAAAAGCAGCCAACATGTCAGCACTTTAACCGTAATATTCCGACTTCGTTTAAAGATAATGCTTTACTCTTACGCTCATTTTGAAGATAAAGAAACGCTCTTTTCGAATATGTCCATAAAATTTTATTTATTTCCAGCAAACATAACAATAATCGCTGCTAAAGTTTCAGCTGTTGATTTGACGCTGTTCCCACCCATAGAACAATCTGAAAAAATACCGTTAGATTACTTGAACTTTCACCTGTAAAATAAACTTCACAAAAAAATGAAGCCATTTCGGGAACATTGAAAAAAAAAAAAAAAAAGTTTACCATGATGTACGTCGTTTGCCGCCACGCTGACACCATGGACAAGCGAACAATTGCCGCGCGTGTGCACTGCACGCAAGCCAGACATCCTGTTCAAACACTTCTGAAACTTGTATACATATTTACACAATAGCAAATATTGTCCAGAAAAATAATGTACTATCACTCGTAGATCTGTACCTACGGTCTAAAAAAAAAAACAAACATCAAACTTACAGGTTGCACATCGTTGCCTGCAAGTTCTGCGAATCCGTTCCATTTTTATCGTCATTTTGCTAATTACAATCGTAAAATTTGCACCAATGTAAAATCAGTAGTTGAAACTTTAGTAGCGATTATTGTTACGTTTGCTGATAACGAATAAAACTTTATGGACATATTCGAAAAGAGCGTTTCTTTATCTTTAAAATGAGCCTAAGAGTAAAGCATTACATATCTTTAACCCTCCGTTGTCGCACTGGGTGTCATAGACCCACAATTTTACTCTGCAGAGGAATATTTTCAAGGTATCGCTTTTAATGCCACTCTTTGTACAACGTGGCATTAATTTGAAATGTTTTTTCTTCAGCTTCCAGTGGTTACACTGCCAATAAACTTAATTGGCATGTGTCTGGCAACCATGGAAAGTAAACTGTAGATCTGAAAGACCCATGTGTGACAAAGGTGTACTGTTTGCTGCAAAATCGCACACGTTTTATTTTATATACAAAATAAAATAGTTGATCCTAAGATCATTATCTTTCCATTTTTGCAACTCTATTTCACACCCAACACTATAAATTCCAGGATACTCCGCACTTGTCGGTCCCTTAATACAAATGAAAGGGACGAAAAATTCACAGCCAAACCGGGTGTAAAGAAATTGATAATGCACCTCGTGGAACCTTTTTTACAAGAACGATACGAACAATCAACTCCTCGGACCGATGTCAAAACTGCAATAGCATCAATTTTAGAAATACATACGTTGCATCCGTCAAATATGAAAAGGCTTCATTTAGAGAACGTAATATTTAGGGGACATAGTAAAAAGAATACGTTGTGGATTGTGCGGGTACAGGGCAGATTGGTAAACTTCACAGTAATGCCCGTCCTGCTGGAGACCAATGTGAGACGAGCATCGCATATTCTTACGCATTGACTGTAGAGGGAATGACTGAAATTATTGTTATTTCTTTATAATGTCATTTCTTTTATACATAAATATACGAATATATAATAAAAATGAAAAGATTTATATCTGTATATGAAAATAAATTGATCTTTCCAAATATAAATGCATCATCCTCCTTACTCGAAAATTGCTCTTAAGCGGTATGTAAAATAAGTACCTTTTTTAAAGCACCATATCTTAAATTTTTAGCAAGAAATAGAGAAATATATACACAAAGTTGTAGCTTTTTTTTTCATTAAAATGACATTTTCCGGAATACACGGTGTTAGAAAATCATCTTTTTGAGAACGATGTTACTTCATTTGTTAACTCTTTTTTATCAAAACATATTCTGCGATATTCAAGCTACATTCTCAAATTTTTTCGATTCAATATCTGCTATTTTTAGAACACCAGACGATCAATTAACGATCAGACTGTGAGTCACATAGACCCAGGGTGGCAACGGTGACTCGAAGAAGAGGTGTGACAACGGAGGGTTAAACGAAATCGGAATATGTATTACGGTTAAAGTGCTGACATGTTGGCTGCTTTTGCCTAATTTTCCATAACTTTAATATTAAATAGCGTTAAAAACCGTTCGAGATAGAAAGCTAACATTTTACACAGTCTCGTTCCTCATGGGTATCTACAAATCGTGTGAGTTTGAAAAAAATTAACGGGTATGACCGCAATTTTGTACGATTTGACGTGGAACGGCTCGTAAGTGGTTAACAGGAAAGTAGTGTGGGATTCTTAACACCGGCCAGCTAATCGGCTGAAAGCCTACAAACGTCGCTCGTGATTCGAACCGCTTACTCTCCTTAGAACGTGCATGATAATTAACCGGTTTTGCGATTCACTGGCTCTCCGCCGTTGTTCATTCATTTCCGATCATTGTTTCGTCATCTTGTATGACTTTCTATCATTCAACATTACCGTTGCGCTAGAGAAAAGTCTTTCGAGAGAAGTTCATTTAAAATTCTTTTGATTTTACGAGAGTAACAGCTTCGAGAGGTAATTTAGCCTTAAAAAATTAGAAGGGTACATATCTTTCGAGAGATGAATTTCAAATGTATCGTAATGTAATTTTGTTACACTGGAATATAATAACAGAGAGAGATGTTTGTCAACATTTCAAAAAAGTTCAGAATTTTTTCATAAGAGATAGCAATATGATATTCTGGTCTTATGGATTACCTGATTAAGAATTATTTAAAATTTCAAAAGAAAAAAATGGATTCCTGTCTTCGTTGTAATCGAGAAGATGGGATTATAAATTTCTGAGAGAAAAAGGATATGAAGATTTTAATGAAACTGAACTGGATTTCTGGGATTAAGTTTTTCACAAAGGATTTCTATCCTTCATACGTCGACTTAACGTGAGAGAAGGGGGTATCTACACAACTGATCTTTTATATGACAGAGTGATTCTGTACCCGCAAATAAATGGACACACCGTTCGATACGAACGCCTTGACTTTTCTAATGTTATTACAATTGTTTACATATGGAACATGAAAATCGATACCGAGTGAATCCACGCTAGCATGTATTAAGTGTTGGTAATTGCACCAATAAAACGGATATCGATTACGCTACTCTAGTTCGCAGCAATGGTCGCTTGTATCCGATGTCTGAGGGTGTTACACAATTTTCGTCGAATCGTGTTCACCAGGTCTCTTAATTTCAATTTCATAATGGGCATTCTGTTTCGTGCTGATGCTAATGCGAATCATTCGTACGGTACATAAATCTGAAATTCATGGTAAAGCGTGTATAAAATGTTGGGCGTTTAATTTTACTAGTACCTGAAGTTTACGGGGCTGTCTATAATTTTTGCAGTGAATTTTTCGAAGTACCTGAATTCTCGAGTACCTAAATTTCGAAATATTTAATAGTCGCTGGCTATCGAGTGCCTAAATGTTACGATATCTGGATGTTTTGAGTACCTCGTTTCTTTGATGCCTAAAAGCTCAAATACCTGCCTTTCAGGATGCCTAAGTTCTCGAATACAAAAGTGATCGAGTATCTAAATGTTCCGAACATCTGTTCTTTAGTACCTGAATCCCAGAGTGCTCAGATTCTCGAATACCTGATTTCCAGAATGCTCAAATTACCGAATACGCGAAACTTTGGTTTCGCCTAATTTTCGAACAACTGCGTTTGTGGGTGCCTGAATTTCGAGTACCTGAAATCACAAATACCGAAGTTTCTCTATATTGAAACTAACGAGAGCCTGAAAACACTTTATTAACTTACACGATTCACTTGAAACAGAAGTTACGTTCTCGTGTACACGGTATATATTACACGTTTCCTTTAATGCCACTAACAAGACGTGGGAATATTCATATTACCGTAGTTACAAGGTCTTTTTATGCATTCTAAGTGTGTTTCACATAGAAACACCGTGTAACGTGAATATTCATGTCGACAGGAGGATTCGAATCTGACACCAGAGGAAAGATTGATGGAGGAAGCGGCGATCGCCGAGACTGAGAAACGATTGGAGGGCAGGAGGAAGTTCCTGGCAGAGAAGTGCTCCGAAGAGGGATTAGATCGGCCTGGAAACGACTCTCTTCATAGGCCTAACGCATGGGAATTTCTTGTAAATAAAGAGTATCATTTGATATGGTGCAACGTCTTCAAAGCTGCGTCTACATCTTGGATGTACAATTTTAATCTACTTGCTGGGTAAAAAATGTCTTAATTTTTACCAAATGCTCTTTGAATGAACAGTTTAATTAATGTCAAGTTTCATTGATTATCTAGATATAGTCCGCAATTCTTGAAGGCCTCAAAAGCTGTGCCAGTTTCCCTGGCAAGGCAGAAGTATCCCAGGCACACAGCAGATGAGTTAAACAAATTCCTAAACGACAGTATCAGCTTCCTCATAGTCAGACACCCATTTGAGAGACTTCTCAGTGCCTACAGGGACAAATTGGAGCATAGCTTGCCTCATACGTTTCATAGTAATCTTGGGGCTCATATTGTTTGGAACTACAGGTCTAGGGTGAGAGTAATCAACATTTACTTTCAATAAAATAATTAAATTTTTCATTCATTTAATATTTTTCTTTTCAAGAGAGCTAGAATCCTTTCTTTAAGATTCATAAAATTTTGCTACTTGGTAGACAATTTTTAGTGCATCGTAAAATTTTTCTGATGTTGATGCTTTGTTTAGTTTTTGAGGGAAAAAAATAGCAAGGTATTAATTCTGTATATCACGAGAGCCCATACAACAAACAGGCAGGAATTGTCTGAGAAACCATTTCCACTTAAGGATACTAATGAGATTCAAGATAAGCACAGCTTGTTTGATAGAGTACAGTTAGCGCTAGAACTTCTAATCTTTTGCGGAACATTGAACAATAGTGATGTCATCGTCCAATTTAGAAAATTACAATTGAAAGATTATGTCTCTGATAACAATTAGGATCCAAAGACGAATGGAAGGCATGGCCCGAGGTATCCACTCTTTGAAGAATTCGTACGATGGCTGTTGTGTCAATGGAGAGCCGGAAACGAACTGGACATGCACTGGACACCGGTAGTAAATTTTTGCACACCGTGTCAAGTACGATTCGATGTTATTGCAAAGTTTGAAACGCTCCATGTAAGTGTACTTGTAAAAGTACATGTAAAGTAATCATATTATCAATCATGATAAACTTTGATTGAGATAAGCATTGATTATCACTTAAAGGAAGATCAAGATTATCTTATAAAGCAAGCACACGTGGGCCATATCATAAAACCAGAATGGAAAAACCCTACTAGAGGAGTCCAAACCAAGGATGTGATTAAGAATTACTTCGCTCAATTGTCTAAATCACAGATCAAAGATCTCTATGAGATGTTCAGGTAAATATTATTCTCTAAGGGATGTATATTAGTAAAACACATCACTGATATTGTATAATATAATGATATTTTTGATATTTCATTTCAGGTATGACTTTGTGCTTTTCGATTATTCTCCCGATGATTACATAGCACTTGGGAGAGATGAGGACACTGTGTTGATCTGTAAAAAGTAATTCAGTATTTCGTACATAGATAACAAGTGCATTGACACTTGAACCGTTCCCCCCCCCTTTTTTTTTATTTTCCTTAAATGTTAACGAACGAAATGTTAACAACGAAAATATTAGATAGGAAGTACCTTTCACGGGCTAAAACGAGGAAAAGAAAACATAACGAGAATTGTTCAAGTTGATGATATCCATGTAAGCACTGCTATTGCATTTAAACTTTTGATAAAAAAAAGTAACAAAGCGTTACAGTATATTCAATTGTTAGGACCTAAGGCGACGAGACATTTGTAAATTGTTATAAATCAACACAAGAATGATTTTAAATGTATCATACCTATAAGAATACCCCGTTGCTTAAGTACTATACACGACGATGAATTTTTTCATGTACGAGGATTTATGGTAGGAGTGATGCTCACTTTGTTAATCTTTCCTGCTTGAACATCGTGTGAGAATAGTTTATATATTCTGAAATAGAATACCTTGCATTCCGGTAGAATATATGCAGACAATATTTTTTCTTTGAAAAAATTAATTTGTAAAGAGTACAATGTAACGTGTGTGCAGTGAATTTTTATTTTCGATTTATATTTTGACTTAACTAAAATAAGTCATACTAATTGTTTTATGTGTTTCAAAGAACATATTTCCCCTGATTCTATATGTATATATTTGTGTATATAAATATACATATACATATGTTGATATAAACGTTGTTATGATAGTTATTATTGCCATTGTACCAATGGTAATAGTACTGCCTCAAGGAAGTATAGTATGTAATTGCATTAGTAAGATATACATTAAATTATAAAACTTCCAAATGCAAGAATAGATAAGGATATATAAGTTTAATGTTTTCCAGTGCTTACTTATATTTTAAACTTCTAACTCAAAAACTTCTAAACTTCTTTTTTTATAAAGACTTAATAAGAATGCAAACCTTTATTTGGTACTTAAATCTATGATGAAATAATTTTTCATTATTAAAACATTTCATGTGAATAAATCAAATTCTTTGTAAAATTGGAAGATAAATATGATATAGAAAAGTTTTAATTTCTTATAATTTTATAAATTATAAATACGAAATGACAATAATTATTTTGTGAAATAAAAGGATTTAAAAAACGTGACTGCATGAAAAATTTATCTTATTTGTGTGAAACTGTGTTTAATTTAATTAATTGTGGAAATAGCAGCAATAATGAATATTTAATTTGATTTTACAAGGTCAGGTGCAATAAGTAATTACAACTATAAAACAATTTTAAACAATTATTATTTCTTTACAAATTATGATAAACTACATTTAGTATTTTATAATTTAGCAACATTTAAAGAATTTTTATTAAAAATGCACACCTTGCAAAATCAAAATGTACTTTATCCATGACTACCAATAATGTACTTACTCTTTTGAAGTATTTTTTAGTACTACTCCAATAACCCATTTGTCAGAGATAATACATTTCCAACTATTTTGTATAACTAATATCTGTTTGAGTTGATGAACTTTATGTTTCTTCTTCTTCACCACTGGTTGTCCATCTGTAGTATACAACTACAAAGTGTATATAACAAATTTAACATATATTTTAACCCTTATTAAATGTATATATTACAAACATTATATGCCACATTTCTTTTTACACAATTCCTACTATTTTAATACATAAAACTTATTCTTTCATGAATTAATGTTTATAAGTTAGATAGCATAATGGCAAAATACTCTGTTTTCATATTAAATGTTAAGAAAAAAAATTTTCTGACATTTTTTATATTAATAAAGGAATTATTTCACAATGTATGAAATGCCTGTTTTTTTATTTTACATCATTATTATTATTATTATCAATTAACTTACGTCAGTATCGGAGTCTGAGGTTATATCCTCTCCATACAGAGCTTGATAGTACAAAGATTTTAAAATATGTCTAGTTGCATCCCGAATTTCCTTTATATCATTAGCTGTCTTTTCTATTCGGGTTTGCACATCCAACAATTGTTTCATTAAATGTTCTTCTACGGGATTGCATTTTGTAGATGATATCGGCAATTCTTCATCGCTGAGAGCGAACATGTCATCGTCGAACGAATCCATTGTGTTTTCGAAAGCAAATACCACATTCGATGAACACTCATAATTAATTTACTAATCAACGATTAATAATACTGTAAAAAGTTTAATATGAAATCATCCCTTCCATCTTCGTACGTTCACTTCCAAAATTTGCGCGATACGTCTGGTGACACATAGAGGCTTAAGTACCATTTTCAATTATAAAGTCGTGGTATAGAAATCGACAAGCTTTTTTTGTAAATGAATGTTTATATTTTAAATAAAAAATTTTATCGTTGACTTTGATTATACCTTTAAACGTTTATTCAAATATATTAACTTTCTAAAACTTTAAATGACAGAAACATATTAACGTTCTAAACCCTCATGCAAAAGTAGCATCTGTTAAAAGTAAGTTAAACATAGAATATTTTAAACTATATGTTATATTATTTTTGTTGTTCTTCATTTTATTTTTATCAATCAATTTTTTCACGAATAAAATAAAATATTTTTCATTTTACAATTGGCCGTCCTGAGTTCTTCACTAAAATTTAATTAGGTTG